CGAAGTTCAAATTTTGACACAAGGTGTCAAATTGATGCAGCCGAAGGTACTGAAAGTTTGGCGTCGATTCGTCAAGCGGTTTGGAAGTTATTGCAGAAAAACGGGAGGGGGGGCTATTTATAGCCCCCCCTCCCGTTATTCTGCAATAACTTCCAAACCGCTTGACGAATCGACGCCAAACTTTCAGTACCTTCGGCTGCATCAATTTGACACCTTGTGTCAAGATTTGAACTTCGTAGCTACCATAGGTCGTCCGGAAATGACGTCAGAGTGACGTCATGTTCGTCCGATTTCGACGCAAAACATTGAACCACGGCAATCGCTCCCAAGAGCTCAATTTTTAAGCTAGATCCACTTTCTTTGCATGAAAGGACTCAGAATTGACCGCGCTATCAAACTGCTATCTCGAATTTTCAAAATTTTGAAAATTTCGAAAATTTTATATAATAATATTCAAAATTTATATTTTTATATTTTTTTCAATAAGTTTTTCACTTATCGAAAAAACCGGAATATATGTGACAGAACGCATGATAATGACTAACTCTAGCAAGTTTTAGCTAAATATCTTCAAAAATGGCCAAGCTATACGCATTATTGCAAAAAATTCACAATTATGTATTTTTCAAATCAATTTTTCAGTACGTATTTGACATCGTACACCAATATAAATGGCACCATCGTGTTCCTGAGCTCAAACTGCATCCAATAGACACCTTTTTTGTTGAAAAATTTCAACTTCAAAATTTGACTTTTTTTGACCTGAAAGTGACCTGACCTAAGCTAATTTCGACTCAAAATGACCTTGAATGACACAGACGACATCAAATTCGAAATCTATGGCCTAAATGGACCATAAAACATGTGTCACGTGACCGACGCATGATATAATATTTTCGTGACCTGTGATGACCTGACCCTGACCTGAAAATCAAAGTACAAGTTTGGTACCCTCAAGGTATCTAGAGCATCTGTTCACGAGTGTGGAAACCAAAAATGAGCCTGATCTGACTTGTAAGACGGCGGCCAGAGCTCAAAATGTGAACAAGCCAAAGTGCTAATAATTTTTAATTTGACCTGACCTGTGACGTCATCGGTGACCTCGAGGTCAATGAAATTAGGTTTCGCTCGACAGTTTTTCCGGGGCTATCAGACGCCGTTTGAATTTTGACGATCGGCCCAGTAGTTTCGGAGTTAGGAGGGGGGGCTATGAATAGCCCCCCCCAGTAGGGCGTGTTATACACAGACCCCAGTGGGGCGCGGGTTAACCTTCCAGGCGGTGGGGGGGGACATTTTTTGCCCCCCCCCCTTTAGTTTTTTCAATATATCTCGAGAACCGCTGCGCCGATCGTCACCAAACTTTCAGTACCCTCCCGGGAGCAGCTAGCGCACATATTGACTAAAAATATTTCCAAAGACTATGATAAATTGGCCGCTAATGACGTCAGAGTGACGTCATTTTTGCCATTTTCGACCCCAAAAAAGGTTTCGCGGGAAGAGCTGTCAGGCCTACAGCTTTAGATATACAGGAAAAAAATTCAAACATAAAAGGTGTGGAATTAAAAGGCCTACAAAACTGCTATTTCGGTTTTTCGATTTTTTTTTGCATTTTGACCCCCAAAAATAAAAATAGAGTTTTTGAATATAATAGCCAAAAATTGTTTTGCTCATTTTTGCTCGAACATGACCTCAGTTTGACCTCAATAACTCCTGACCTAAGGTGACCTAAAACTTGAAATTTGGTGTGAAGGTGTCAAATTGATGCCCAGAAAGATTCTGAAAATTTGGCGGCGCTGCGCGCCGCCGTTTTCTTGCTATTCAGGAAAAACCACAGGGGGCAAAAATGTCCCCCCCAACGGGGCGAGGGTTTTAAAGGTCAAGGTCAAGATCATGCTCTAAATTGACCTGAAACTTTTCACTTTTGTGTACATCTTGCGTGCTAACTTCCAATATGTTTTTAAATGTTTTGAGGCTTATCAGGTCTCTACTTGTGGTTCATTGTACGATGCAAGGCTGCTCAAAGGTCAAGGTCACAGAAGAGTATCCTTGCTAGAGGCTATTTCACTGATTCTAGTTAGTACCTATATAATGATAAATAAGATAATTTTGCCATGCGGAGGCTCTAAATAAAGGCTTAGAGGAAAATAGATGCCAGATTCGTGATCAGCGGGTACGAATCCATCATAAACGACCTTTCATGTGTCAAGGTCAGCCAAAGGTCATCTTCGAGGTCACATAAGGTCAAGATAAAACTTGACCTTTTCAAACAAAATACATATCATTCGACGCGGCTTGACAAGGCGAATGCGTTGGTACCCCTGCCGTAGCTCTAGGACCATTTTTGTCGAAGTTATTCGCGAAAAACTAAAACCACAGCTCGGGGGTCGTTGACCTGACCTCTGACCTCAGGTCACCAAAACTATTTTTCTATTTTTCTCTAGGTCAAATGCTACACAACCGTGCTCGTAATTTGTCTTTATCTCTAAAACTCTATTTTTAGCAGCTATTTGAAGTTCGCGTCTGTAACGCCGAAATTTGTCGTGCAGGGGTCTAGAAAAATCGACCCTGTGACGTCATCAAGGAGGCTAGTTCCAAATTTTTTACTTCAGGAGATGTCAAATTGATGTCAGAAAAGGTACTAAAAGTTTCGCTTTCCTATCCCTAAGCGTTCGGGAGCTATCGCAAAAATTCGCCAGGGGGGGGGGGGAAACGCCCTCCCCCCGGGCCCGCGCCGGTTAATGCTGATAATTATTGGTATAGGCTCAAAGATATTTGAATGGAGACTGAATCCTGTTGCTGATATGATTAGTTGACAAGTTGTCCTGTTGTACGTTGGCCGACATGACAGTGGCAACCAGTCTATAAGAATTAAAAACTAGGGGACATTTGGCTAGTTTTACGTTACATTGTTAATCTTCGCCCCGCTGGGGCGCCAATATGGCCCCCCTGTGGGTTTTCCTGAATAGCAAGGAAACAGCGTCGCGCAGCACAGCCATATTTTCAGTATCTTCCTGGGCATCAATTTGACACCTTTACAAAAAAAATCACTATCTATCACTATTACTGCTCACTATTAGCAGTCAGCTCGTATGCAGCATGTATGTAATGTCATACCTACCTATGTCTCAGCACGTGCTAGCGTGACAGCTCCCACACCATTAACCCGCGCGGGGCTGGGGTCTCCAGCCGAACGCGCGGGGCTGGGGGGGGGTAAATTTTACCCCCCCCCTGTTATCTCCCGAACTAACGTTCCGATTTGGAAAATTCAAACGCCAATCGAAAGCTCTCATCACGAACTACTAAAAACATGTACTTAATTTAAAGTTTGAGGTCAAGGTCAAGGTCAGGTCAAGGGTACAAATTGCAAGTTTCTACAGTATCGGCCTTGCACCGTAGTTGCCGAAGAATGGAGTCATGGACTGAGACTGATCGCCCAAAACGTGTTCTTAGGCTACCAAGACAATATTCGTTGCATACAATATCATTCAGAGGTCAAGGTCAAGGTCAGGTCAGGTCAGGTCAGGTCACCAAAAAACAAAATATAGAAAAGGGCATGTGCGACACATGTTTTATGGGTCATTTTACTCATAGAATTCAATAGGCACTCTCAATAAGTGATATTGACCACCTCTGGATGAATTTCAGGTCGAGGTCAGGTCAAGGTCAGGTCAAGTGAGGTCAAATTTTGAAGTTGGTTGTTAAGGCCAAAAAAGGTGTCTATCTGATGCAGTTTTTCACGGCGAATCGAATGGTGCTATTTTTGTTTCCGTACGAGGTCTAGAACTTCCAAAAAAGTCATTTTTCAAAAAAATTGTGTGTCGTGACGTCATAAAATTTTGAATAACTCCCACATTTTTGAACCGATTCTTCTAAAATTTGGTATGTAGGTGCACATAGACCACTTCTCTGACATATATTCCGGTGTTTTCGATAGACTCAAAATTTTGGATTTTATAATGATTTTTCCAAAAAAGTCAGTTTTTTTAAAAAAATTAGGCCAAAATCCAAAATTTTCAAAAAACCGAGATAGCCATTTGATAGACAAAGTAAAATTACGTATAACCTTTTTTGTTACGTCTTGATTCCTTTAAAAATGAAGATGTTAGCGGCGTTTGAACTTTTGCCGTTTTTGAGGCGAAAATGACGAACATGACGTCACTAAAACGTCAATTTCTCAAAAATTTTCCGACAGATTTCGCTCAAATTTTCAGGGAACGTGTCAAATTGATGTGAGAAAAGCTACTGAAAGTTTGGCGGCGCTGCGCGCCGCCGTTTTTGAGATATCGCAAAAATTCGCGAGGGGGGGGGGGGTAAAATTTAACCCCCCCCCCCAGCCCCGCGCGGGTTAACCTACCATGTCTGTATGTGACTGTGTTTCCCAGCCTGCCCGCGTGTCACTGCCGGGGATCTACAGAGGCTGCTGTCCGCCCTCACCGGCCTTGAAGACGTCACACTTGGCGGCACTCTGTCCTGCGCCATCACTGACGCCTCACTGGCCGCCCTCCACGGCTGCTCCCAGCTGCGTAAAATGCAGCTGGGGGACAGAGTGGACCAATGTACGGATATACCGGTCACAGCGGTCAGCAGGTCAGTCAGCTGTACATCCAGACCAGACTCAGACTAGACCCAGACCAGACCCAGACCCAGACCAGACCCAGACCAGACCCAGACCAGACCCAGACCGCACCAGACTCAGACCATTTCTACCTAGATGAGACCAAACCAATGCATGACGCTATGCTGTATGCATTGTCTGTTTGTGTACACTGTTGCTATGCATTGTGCTTAAAAGATTGGTATGTATTGTCAGTAACGAGCATACAGACCAATAGTAGTTAGCACTATAGCTATTAGCTGGCGCACGGCATCGGGGCCGGACCCTCACCGGGACCGGACCGGCCCTGACTTGAACTGGCCCTGTGGAGACCGGACCCGTCCCCTACAGATGGCCGGTCGGCCGGCTGGTGTCGCTGACTGGCCTGTGTCCTGTTCTGTCGCAGACTGGTGGTTACCTGTCGGAAACTGGAAGCGCTGCTCTTTATCGCAACGGGGGAGCTCAGTCAGACGGTCCTGGACGCCCTGGTCCGGGCAGACCTGGGGAAAAGAGATGACGGCACGCCGAGAACACTGTGGTTCCAGGTCTCAGGTAAGTGACAGCGCCGCCCAGCGTCTCTGATCAGTCCCACAACAGACGGCTCGGCGCCACCGGCCTCTCGGAGCCGCTATCGGACACTCTCTCAACGGGTCGAGATGAACACATAACGATGATGTGACGTCAACTCACAACTGATATAAACTGATAGTGATGTCATTCATATATAGATATGAGTCTAATATACTCAACTCATGTGTGGCGTGAATGGTTGTTCGAGTATGAACAATACCAAACACTAGCTGATACCTGTGGTAGGTTAGCCAGTATATAGTAAGATGACGTAAGATATATAGTAAGATGACGTCACTCGTATTTAGGTAGCTAATTGGTATGGCTTGAGCTCTGACACGGTGTGTGGTATGAATTGATGTTATGGACATGTTCACTGTGCTGTGGACTTCACTGTTTATTTGTGCAACTCTGTGTACAAGGTATTAGCGTGCAAGTGTGTGATTGCAACTGCCCGATATTCATTTGAATTCATGTTACCGGGACGTTACTAGATACTGAGCTCACGTACTGTCGTTGTTACATGTCTTTGGTGCTGAATTAGGCTTGCGTAGATAGATACTATCATTGGCGGATCCAGAAAGGCAACCTTGGACGCTGCGGGTGGGGCATACCCCCCAAAAAATCTCCAAATTCCAAAAACTCATCGAATTTCGGTTCCGAAGGCACTACTACGCAGTTTAACCCGCGCCCCAGTGGCGGTCTCAGCCAACTTCGCCCTAGTGAGGGGGGGCATATGTTACCACCCACCTCTAACTCAAAAACTAAGAGGGCTAGAAAGACGCGGTAAAAAGCAGTCGATAGCTCTCAATGCGTACGTTTGAAAGTATTTCATTCATTTTTCACCTTAGAGCAATATTGGGGTCACCAGAGGTCATCAAAGGTCAAAATTTGCCAATTGTCATTATATTTTTCAGAAAACATGCCGCTATCTCAGGAACTATGGTAGCTAGAATAACGCAGGGAAGAGCAATCGATAGCTTTTGAACTCTTCTTTTGAAAAGGTGATAATCAATATTGACCTCAGGTCAACGGTTTGGCCTCCAGAGGGCAAAAAGTCCAAAAATAGCTGTTTTTACGAAAAGTGTTTTTCGACAATAACTTTCGACTACAAAAAGCCACGACATTTCTATTGCCAGAATCGTGTTCCTCTCGCCGAGACGCGTCGAATGAACTATAATTTGACCTTGAAAGGTCAAGTTGAAAATTTGACCTCAGGTCAAGGTCATGACCTTACCGGAAAAGGTCATGCTGCATATCAGTCGATGCGTCTCAACAAGGCAAACACAATGAGACCATCCCCAGCGTTCTATCTCTTTCCAATCGCGAGTTATTGGCAAAAAACTGTTTGTAGCCTCAAGTGACCTCGGATGACCTGTCTAGAGGCTATAAGCAAAAATGACACCTTGGTCATCACGAGTGGACTAAATCATTGTGATTCTGAAATATTTGGACTGTTCCGATGCGTACACACGGATCTAGAGGCATTTTCATTTTTCTCCATTGACTTGTAATGGAAAGGTTTCGCCACTGACCTGACCTTAGGTCACGGATATAAAAAATCCGAGATATACAAATTGTAGGCGCCCATAACAGCATGCAATCCACCAAGTTTGAAACCTTTCTGACAAACACTGCAGGCTGGACATGATTGCAAACTTTTTTAGGCTTGGTCAGTTAACTTGACCTGGTGACCTGACCTGACATGACCTGAGGTCAAAAATTTCACACATTGTCCAAAATTGATGTATCAAAAGCTACCCCAAGCGGCGCGGCGCTACGCGCCGCGGTTTTTTATTCACACGCAAAAAACGCGACAGGGTGGTAACATATCCCCCCCCCACTGGGGCGAAGGTTAACCCGCGAGTTGCTGGGGGGGGGGGGGGGGGGCGTTAAACGCCCCACTTTTATCGCCGCGCTATAGCGTAAAAACGGCGCGCCGCAGGCGCGTCAAAATTTAGGTACCTGTAGGGAATTGTTTGAAGTTTGTTGTGACAAATTAAAAAAAAAAAAATCGGTAGGATTTTTTTTGAGATATCGAGGTTTTAGTGACGTCATAATTTCTGAGTTTTCGGCCAAAAATGGCATGTGTTCAAAAAATCATATAAAATCACATAATAGACATACAGACATGCCGTAAACGCTATTAGACTGCCAATACTATGAACAATCAAATGACTATCTTCGATTTTTCATTATAGTTCCGTATTTTCAAAAATCTTGAACTGAATCTTGGCAATTTCTCGTGACTACTTAGCGACCATGATACATGCATTTCTTAAATTGAACTTTTTGAACCAAACACGTACACATATGATAAAATGAATGTCACCATCGTGTTCTACGCCCAAAATTACCCATAAAACATGTGTCACGGGCTGCGAATATCAGTTTTGGTTTTCGGGGATATGTGCCTTCCCGGTTGACCTGACCTTGACCCTGACCTATGCTTGACTGACCCCTACATGGAGCTGACACTCTTGTAGGCCTTATATGAAAGATTGTGCACCGTTTTGAGAGAGTTTATGACGAGAGGCGCCCATTGCGAAGTCCTGAAGTCCATGCTACTGAAAGCCCGATTTCAGGTGTTTGAACTGACCTTGACCCGAACTGTGACCTCTAAATTCAAATTTAAAGTACTCATCTGAAGCGTCTCGTCGCGTTCTTTCGTTTGCCGCCTCGTGCGTTTCGCTGCGCCTATTGGTTCTCGAGTTATCGGCTGGGGGCGTTTAACCCTCGCCGGCACAGGCCATTTTGAGTCCTTCGACGGCACAAGGGGGGGGGGGGGGTTGGTACGGGGACCCGCAGTTGCTACTGTACACGAACCCCAAGTCTAGCCGTCTGTCCTGTCCAGTAACAACCGATAACATTGATATCGACTGCTGGTCCCTGTACAAGAGCAGCTGAGGTTTCCTGTGAGTACCCTCTGACAGCTTATCGTTGTTCCCTGTGAGGGTGCTGGGACAATTTACTCAGGGCCGCTGTACATACAGTAGCAACTGCGGGTCCCTGTACGACCCCCCCCCCCCCTCCCTCGCGTTTGGCCCCTGATCGAGCTAGAGCTTCGCGGAAAAAAAACGAGCGTGTTGCCCGTCACGAGAGGAAGCCGATGATACCCAATTTTAGGGTCCTAGGTCATCGGGTGACCTTCCAGGTCAGGTCAATGACCCGAAAACCGGGAAAATCGGGACCTGTTGGAAAGTCGTAAAGTGTGGCTGCTATGTGGTTTTCCGGGGTGCTGATCACGAATATCGTGTTAGTTTTGATCAGAGATGATGTCTTTAAGCATTTAGACCAGGTCGGGTCAGGTCAGGTCAGGTCAACCGGTAGGGGTTGTGACGGGTATTCGTAATACGTGTCAACCGCCTCGGACAGCTTCGTAACATGTTACGAAGGCACCAAAACCACTTCGTATATGTTCAAATGGCTGCTAAATTCAAATTCAGCTCCAAAAACTAGCCTGGAAACATGTAAAACTCGAAAAGTGAACCGAGGTCACCCGAGGTCACCAAAGGTCAATGACCTGACCTGACCTTCAGGTGAGCTTGACACCCACCCTAATGCATGGTAGCAACATCAAATCACATGTTTGAACGTTTGAAACCACGAAAAGCTTGTAAACGCGCGGCTAATGCGAGCCGACATGCGCCGAATAGCGATTTCGGCCAAACATGGTCACAGAAAAGAGGTCACAGGTCAAAGGTCATTGGGGTCAGGGTCATGAAATTTTCAGGGTAGGTGTAAAATTGATCAATGCGAGGGTACTGAAAGTTTCGTTGCGATCGGCCGCTTTTTACGCGAGTTATTCGCGAAAAACCTTAGGGAGGGGGGGTTGCATCAACCCCCCCCCCTGTGCCGGCGAGGGTTAACGCCCCCCCCCCCCAGCAAACGGTGGGTGGCGACATACCCCAGCAACTGCCGGGTTAAAACAAACTTTTCCTAATAAAAGTTGTTAAGTTTTCGTTTTATTCCTCAAAAACCGCAAATTTTCGTCGATTTCGGGCGCTGCAGGGGGGGGCATTTGCCCTAAATGCCCCCCCCCCCCCATGGGTCCGCCAGTGGATACTAGAAACCAGTTTTGTGGTGTCGAACTTGATAAAATAAATGGACCTATCAAGCATGTCCATTCGTGTCTGGTTGATAGCTCTACTTTGGATTGTATTGTATTGTATTGTATTGAGCAATCATGAGCGATCCACATTCTCAAAGTGCGTGGCGATTACTGCTCATTTAGTTACTGCATGGAACATGACGTACTCAACCGATCATGTGATGTGTGTGCCATTATGGGGCGTCATATCAGAAGTCCGAACTTGTAATATGTTATACCACATTAACCCTATTCCTGGCGGGGGGGGGGGCCTCAGGAGCCCCCCCCCCTGAGGTTTTTTGGTTATTTCTCCCAAACGCGTTGAGCTAGGAAGCTCAAATTTTCTGACTTTCCCTAAAAGGCTTCTACGCAACATGTCTGAAAATTTTGAGTTGATCTGACCTCAGGTCAGGTCACCAGAGGCGGTTTGGTGACCCTAACTCAGAAAAGTTTGCAATCACGCCAGAGCTAGAGTTTTTGACCGATCAATTTCTTCTCTTCAGGGTTTAGTTAGGGTACCAGTATGTGCAATTTGTTTATCTCGGAATTTTGATATCGGTGACCTAAGGTCAGGTCAATTTCGCGACCTCCCCATTATAAGTCAATGGGGGGAAAATCAACTCCCTGTTTTTACCACTAAAACGGGTCGGAATGGCCCCATATACCATACATGACTTCATATACGATCAACCTTCACTACCTTGAGGTCTGTTTTGCTGTTGGGCAGCTGTGAGGTCATGTGACGTCAACAAAGGTCACCAAAGGTTTTTGGCCAATAACTCCGTACAGGAAAAAGATACAGACGCGTGGATGGTCTCATTGTGTTCAGCTCGTCAAGACGCATCGAATGATATACATGATGACCTCGAGGTCACGTGACCTGAGGTCAACCTTTGACCTTGACCTTTCGAGGTCAACATATATATCATTCGATGCGGATTGACGAGAGGATCACGATGATGCCCTTAGTTTGTTCCTATCTTGACTAATTCGAAAGTTATTCGAGAAAAACTCTCTCCATATCTAGTGCCGCCATTTTGACTTTTTCGACCCCTGTGACGTCATCTTTGACCTGACCTGAAAATGACCTTAGTAAAAATTGTAGATCTTGGCCGTGCGTATCCGATGCCGTTTACCGCTTGTCGCTATCTTGCTTCGTTCTCGAGATCTCAGGGGGGGGGCCGAATCGCCCCCCCCCCCCCCCCCCCGCCAGTTTCTTGTCCCGGCGGAGCCCGCCAGGAATAGGGTTAAACAAAGTTTGTTTACTTCGTACTTCGTACTTCGAAGTATAAGAAACATTCTTCCCATTGTGTATGAGTTGTCATTTGTAACCCATCTTACTGGTGTCTTACCCGCAGAAGCTGTTTATGATAAACTGATCATACCGTCGGATACCGGCAACATCAAAGTACTAAGACTGAGGGACGACAAATCCTGCGGTTCATCTTTGAAGTTCATCTTTCCACCGGGCCATAGTGATGAGCAGCTAACGGCTCTGCTGGAGTCCCTCCAATCCTTGGAGGAGCTCACGGTCTCCATTCCTCCTGACTCGACGGGACGGTGGCTGCGGCTGCTGCCGCCGTCCTTGAGGCGCCTGGACGTTTACGGTGAGATGTCATTGATGAAACTTGTACCTAATCACACTGCTGTGTGGTGAGGACAGCGCTTAGTAGGTATTGCGATTGCAGCCATGCATGTGGGCTGTAATGTTTAGCCGGTCCGATACCATATGCAATGTAATATTAATCTACACACAAAAACAGTGTTTTAGCGGGCAGTGGCATCATCACAGTAAAATATGTAATGCGTATTCACTGTAACTCTTGTCAAAATTATGATAGACGTTGTTTTGAAGACCACATGCTCTACAAATGATCATAGGAAACCGACGTCTAATGTTGATCATGGCCTGACATCCAATGCAGATAGCTTTGACAGCATCGTCGATAGTGTTCAATCTCTGTTTTTCATAGTTCATGGTCTGCTGAGCTATGTAGGTATAACAATATATGTGCTTGTATACAACAGACATTCCAAACTCATTCCTATCAGTGACGAGTCGGCTGTGTTAGTGTTAGTATCGGCTGTATCATTGTTAGATACCATAGTATCAGCGGCCTCCCGACCCGGCGGCAGCTCCGTCCGACTGCAGTCAGCTGACACAGCTCTCTCTCCGACAGGACCGGGGGAGACGGGGGAGCCGGTGACACGGACCAGACCGCTCGACCATGGGCTGGATGTCGTCATACAACAGGCGGGAGATGACGTCATCAACCAGCTGGCCAAGGAGCTGGGACCACGGGTTACCGCGCTGCACATGTTCAGTGAGTGGCGGTGGCACGGACAGGTTATCGGTATGAGTGGTTAGTTACACTGACGAACACCATATACCTAACTGAGCACGGTAACACCGTTCGGGGAGAGGTGAAACACGGACTGTGACCAGAGATTGTCATGTCAGATACTTTTTGCTGGTATATTTGGTATATCATATGTATGTAAATGACGGATATGCCGGATATGTCGATATTCATTTCCGTGGGGTGTGTGGAAGTGGTGAGACCTGGTGTTGGCGACCTGTGGTGAGTGGTCCGTATAAATACATAACCAATCACCAACCATCAGTTATGTGGATGTGTCGTTTCATTTTCTGCTTGGCAGCTCCTTATTAGTAGGCACCATTACTTGCACACAGAATGCATATACATATAGGTATACCTACATGCATGCGTGTATAGCTACTTCTTTACTTAGATACATACATAAACTGTACATTCATACATACATACATGCATACGTACTTACATATACACAAATATACATACAAATAATATAAAATGTGTTCATTATCACTATATACTGCTCGTGCTATTAGCAGTCAGCTCGTATTCTGCGTGTAGTGTCATGCCTGTATATGTCTCAACACGTGCTAGCGTAGCAGTTCCCACACTATTCGCCTACCATGTCTATATGTGTCTGTGTTTCCCAGACTGCCCGCGTGTCACTGGTGGGGCCCTGCAGAGGCTGCTATCTGCCCTCACCGGCCTGGAAGACGTCACATTTGACGGCTCTCTGCCCGGCGCCATCACTGACGCCTCACTGGCCGCCCTCCACGGCTGCTCACAGCTGCGTAAAATGCAGCTGGGGGAGCCCGGTATACTCTGTACGGATATACCGGTCACAGCGGTCAGCAGGTCAGTCAGCTGTACATCCAGACCAGACCCAGACCAGACCAGATACAGACCAGACTAGACCTAGACCAGACCCAGACCAGACCCAGACCAGACCCAGACCAGACCCAGACCAGACCCAGACCAGACCCAGACCAGACCCAGACCAGACCCAGACCAGACCCAGAACCAGACCCAGACCAGGCTTAGACCAGAACCAGACCACACCAGACTCAGACCAGTTCTAGCTAGACGGGACCAATGCATGCTACCGCTTGTCTGCATGTGTAGTGTGTTCCCTGTTACAATACATTGTGCTTCGAGCCTTGGTATTGGTATGTATTAGCCGTTTTACTTGTCATGGCGGCCATCATCTGGTACACATTTGGTACACATTTGGTGCACATTAGGTGCAGATTTGGTCAAATTAGGCTCAGTGTGTCTCTTAGCAGCTTTCAGCTAGGGTTGTCCTAATTGCTTATATGCCTGCTTTGTTATATTATCAGTGAGTTTTATCAATTTAAACACTGAAATAAATTCATAACATGAAGATATTCGCTGATAAAGAGATAAGTTGCAGATTTGGTCAAACTAGGTGCATTCGCTGGATAGCCCGTCGTGAAAACGGCTATTGTCACTATAACGAGCATACAGACCCATAGTAGTTAGCAATCACTATAGCTATTAGCTGACGCAGGGCATCGGGGCCGAACCGGACTGGACTTGTGACCCTGTGGAGACCGGACCCGTCCCCTCCAGACGGCCGGTCGGCCGGCAGGTGTCGCTGACTGGCCTGTGTCCCGTTCTGTCACAGACTGGTGGTTACCTGTCGGAAACTGGACTGGCTGTCTCTCGACACAACGGAGGGGCTCAGTCAGAGGGTCCTGGACGTCCTGGTCCAGGCAGACCTGGGGGAAAGCGATGACGGCAAGCCGAGAACATTGAAGCTCCTTGTCGAACGTAAGTGACAGCGCCGCCTGGCGCCTCTGATTAGTCCCACAACAGACGGCTCGGCGCCACCGGCCTCTCGGAGCCGCTGTCGCACACTCTCTCAACGGGTCGAGATGAGCACATGACGCTGATGTGACGTCACAACTGATATAAACAACAGTGGCATCATTTTTAAGCATGAATCTGATCTGTGTGACACCACTGGCTGTTGGGGATTTGCATTGTGCAATATGCATGTCGGATATATCGTTGTCTTTTTGTGTTTTCGCCCTACTGTGTGCATGTTTGCAATTACACCCACAATATGAAAAGTGACTATTTGGCTGATAGTGTAAATTAAACCCAACTGGAGGTTATTGGCGGTGTTGCTAAGCTTTGTATAACCTTTGATTGAACAAAAATGTACACGAGAAATCAGTATAGTGTGCTGTAGCCGCCTGTACTCGTGAAAATAAACGGACAGCCAACATAACCACTGGTGCCCTGTTGTAATGTTGTGTGCTTACTGCATGACTCATGAGTCATGAGGCAACATAAACCCGCTCATGTGCTGTTTGTGTCCCGGTGAGACGTCGTCACATCAGACATTTACATTATAGTTATGTGTGTCGTTGCATAATGTTTGCGGTTTGTGACGCTGCATATAAGATGTTTCAGTTTATACTGCGAGAGACCACCCCGCCATTGTGTATGGCGAGTGGTGTTCATCTCCAACCATCTTGTTTGTTTACATATGTGCATGTCTTATCCACAGCACCCGTCTATGAGAAGCTGAAAAAGCCGCCGCCCAACAGCAGCATCAAAGTGGTGAAGGCTACCTAGGAGTATCATTCAAAAATACCACGCCGACTCAGAATGCGCCTACATCCTCAGTGAGTTCTGTTCTCTTCTGGTGGTGTCCATTTAGTCCCTTCCATAGACTGGAGGAATCACACAGGTGGCAGCACCATACACAGCGGTTTCACCACCAGATGGCAGCAGCCTACCCTTGATCCACAATTGCTCCAGAATTGCTTACCAACAATAGACCGACAACAACGGCGCGTTAGCCTCAGTCACAGTAAATTGGCGTGAAATATAGCATGTTTGCCACCTATATCGCTGTTGTAACGACCAGCGGTGGTGAGTTCTGATGAGTGTGTACGAGATCAGAACGTCCAGACTTCAGAGGTCATTGGCGCCAGCGGTCACTGTAGTATAGGATGTCATGTTCCTAGTAAGCATGCTGGATAAAGTATATCGATCACACAGCAATTGTAAGTGGACCGACAGCCCTTGGTTTAACCCGCGCACCGACGGGGGTCTGCGCCAACTTCGCACCGACGGGGGGGGGCCGATGACCGCCCCCCCCCCTGAGATCTCGAGAACGAAGCAAGATAGCGACAAGCGGTAAACGGCGTCGGATACGCACGGCCAAGATCTACAATTTTTACAAAGGTCATTTTCAGGTCAGGTCAAAGATGACGTCACAGGGGTCGAAAAAGTCAAAATGGCGGCGCTAGATATGGAGAGAGTTTTTCTCGAATAACTTTCGAATTAGTCAAGATAGGAACAAACTAAGGGCATCATCGTGATCCTCTCATCAATCCGCATCGAATGATATATATATGTTGACCTCGAAAGGTCAAGGTCAAAGGTTGACCTCAGGTCACGTGACCTCGAGGTCATCATGTATATCATTCGATGCGTCTTGACGAGCTGAACACAATGAGACCATCCACGCGTCTGTATCTTGTTCCTGTACGGAGTTATTGGCCAAAAACCTTTGGTGACCTTTGATGACGTCACATGACCTCACAGCTGCCCAACAGCAAAACAGACCTCAAGGTAGTGAAGGTTGATCGTATATGAAGTCATGTATGGTATATGGGGCCATTCCGACCCGTTTTAGTGGTGAAAACAGGGAGTTGATTTTTCCCCCATTGACTTATAATGGGGAGGTCGCGAAATTGACCTGACCTTAGGTCACCGATATCAAAATTCCGAGATATACAAATTGTAGCTACTAATAACCTAATAATATCCTGCGACTTTCAAAGGCCTCCGACATCTACTGTAGCTCTGGCACGGTGACAAACTTGCAAAAAAGTGACTTGAGGTTGGGTCATTCAAAGTGACCTGGTGACCTGACCTTAAAAGTTAGGAGGTTCAAACTTGCACACCATGTGTAAATTTGATGAGGTTATAGTCATACCAAATTTCGCGGCGCTACGCGCCGCGGTTTTCCGGCTATTCGCGAAAAACCTCAGGGGGGGGCGGATATCCGCCCACCCCCCCCCCCCCCCGTCGGTGCGCGGGTTAACTGTGTCCAGTACACAAATAGAGACATTACTCTAACCATCCCGCAGTGTTTTTTTTCTGTTAATATCGCGGTTATTTTAACGAACTTGTCCAGCGACGTCATAATGTATGATGTCTTCGTAACGTAACTATATCCAATCAGTGTATTGCCGCTGTGACGTCACTGTGGCATTCTCCCGCTACGTCATATCGCACATGTTGTTCCTGTGTGGCGTAATATGTCCATTTTGTTCCCAAGTGACGTCATACTCCACCCAGTGCCGGCAGGCTTGTTCACCCTGCTGATTGGCTCATTATAAGACGCCGAGGCGACGGACAAATGGGACGACAGTCGGCCGGGCTTTATCGCCAACTGGGAGCTGGTGAAGTTGCGCTCCTTCAGCACCAGCGTGCACCGGGTGAACACGGTGGGGTCGAACACAATGCCTGCTTGTTCTTACTATGCTGCTTTTGCTTATGTGTTTTCTGTATCATGTATGATAACTAACAATGACGTGATAGTTCGGTGAAAATCATTCAAATGATGTGAGCAATTGTAGATATTGTGTGACTTACGGAATAAGAATATGGATAAGATGCACTGTTAGATGATCGTCAATGTTGCCTTATCCAGTCCCGGCTTGTCGAAATATATCAGCAACCTAATTATGGTACCGACTACCGAGTTTGTAGAATAGGTACACTTTTCCAAGACGTTGGTATAAGACATTGCTATACACATCCGCTAGGACACTGATCTAACAAATCGTCAGAGTACCCTGTTCTACGGAATCGTTAGAATGAACGCACCATATGTCCTTTACCTTTCGAACGACGCCTGTGAAAACTGAATAGTTATTAGTGCGGTCAGTGTCTCGTATCGATACACGGTGCGGCGGTGTCAACAAACCCGACCGAGGGAGGACTGCCAAGTTTGAGGGCCACCGAACCACCTGACCTTGGGATGGGTGACGATGGCGAGGGAGGGGAAGGGGGCGGGGCGAGTTTAGCCGGTGGTTCACCGCTCCTCACATTTACCGGGTATCGGTACTTTTGTGAGAGACTGTACATTCACATGGTGTGTGCTGTTGCCTGTTGAACTTGCTGCTGGGTGTAAATGTGATAGAAACTGGTTGACGTGAGAAACAAGTGTAATAGAAACTGTTTGACGTGAGAAACTGAAGTGTAATTAATTGCTTAGTGCCGATGTTATGCACGGCGATAGGGATAAGGGATAAGTGGCTTATCCCACATTGTCTACAAATGTGTGAATGATGTATGGGCGCGAAAGTATGCAAACGAGACATACTTTTAGGACACCTGTATCAGAGAAAGGTAAATGAGCTACGTGTTTTTTTGCTTTCTTAGAGGACAATAGTTTTACACTTCACTCGCATGATAATGCTTTTGCTGCTTGAGATTGCTCACAATAAATACATGCAAGTTCTATCGTTTTTTCATGCGTTCTTTTGCTACGCTGACCTTCGCCGGTGGGGGGGGGGGGAGGGCAGAATCTGCCCATAACCGTTTTTCGGCAATATCCAGTAGATTAACGGTCGATAACGGCAGATAACAATGTTGGATACTGGATAGCGATACGTTTCTAACGAAAATAAAACTTTGCGAAAAAAACGAGTATGTTGCATGTGTCGAGACTCGAGAGGAGGCCGATTCTACGCAGATTTGTCCATGACCTAGTTCATTGGTTGATCTTACAGGTCAGGTCAGTGACCCAAAGGTCGTAAAAATTGGGCGCTGCTAGAACTTGGCCTACAGTGCAGTCGTCATTGGGTTTCAGGGTCCTGCCCAGCTCACGGATGTCGTTGGAACAACGTTGTCAAAACGTTGCATTTCGGTAAGTTATGGTGTACAACGTTGTCAGGTCGCTATGACAACGTTACAAGCGTGCGTCAGCAAGGTTGACGAAAGGTCCGTCATTTTACGTTTTGTTGACTTTATGCCGATACGTTGCGCCGACGTCGTATACAGTTATGCTATATCATAACTTCGAAATCTCGGTTACATGAGTGAGTTCCAAATGTTTTTCTGCTATGATCGGTGGAAAATGTGCAGACAGCCAGAAAAGACAAGATTGCTGTTCTGATATGTTTTGTTTTGAATTGACTGCCTACACATTCATGGTTCTCATCATAACTGCTTGTGGCTTTTGTAACATTATCACATTTTCTCGTGACTATTCGTGACGTCATTATAGCTGTCGGGGCTGTTGTTTGGAGACGTCATCAAAATTCCTCGCGACTTTTGAGGGCTTGGAATGATACCTATTTGCTCTTTATTTGTGGTGATCCATCATCATGTAAGCACTTCATTGTTGACGACTTCATTATATTTCCTAGCAGCTAGTTATGACGTGCTAAGTTTTATCTAAGACTTTTGTTGACAATATGTTTATTCCTGACTATGTATGACGTCATAATTTCCGTTCCTGAGTACCAATGACGTTATATTTGTTCCGGTCGAGACTGACGAACTATCCCGTCCGTGACGTTGGTTCTGACTACCAATGACGTCATATTTGTTCGGGTCGCGACTGACGAACTATTCCGTCCGTGACGTCTCTGTTCGAGTCTGGTGAATCTCCGTCTCTGAAAAAAAAAACACAAAGAGAGATCAGAATCAGAGATCAGAAGATGGAGAAGAGGAGATAGATGAGAGAAGAGAGAGAGAGAGAGAGAGAGAGAGAGAGAGAGAGAGAGAGAGAGAGAGAGAGAGAGAGAGAGAGAGAGAGAGAGAGAGAGAGAGAGAGAGAGAGATAGAGAGAGAGAGAGAGAGAGAGGGAGAGAGAGAGAGAGAGGGAGAGAGAGAGAGAGAGAGAGAGAGAGTAGAGAGAGAGAGAGAGAGGAGAGGATACATAAGCCTTGAGTATGCAGTTTTCTCTTAACCCGCTCTCCGCTGGGGGGGGGGGGGGCAGATTCTGCCTTTATTCACCAAAATTATTTTGGTGAATAAAGGTTTGATTCACCAAAATTACATTTTTGAAGCAAACCGCCCGGTATCCGGGCGGTTAACCCGCGCCCGGCTGGGGGTCCTGGATTTCCACGCCCTGCTGGGGGGGGGGGGGGTGTTTGAACACCCGCCCTTCTAACTCGGCTCCTGGGCCACGTAGCGATACGCGGAAGGCGGCGTTCGAAAGAGCGTCAAAAATAATGAGGAAATTACTTCGGTCAATTTTTTGGTCAGGTCAAAGGTCAGGTCACCAGAGGTCATTGAAGGCAAAATTTCGCCGATTTCCAGGTCGAATGTCGAAAATTTCCAAGAAGCCAACGCATAACTCGGGAACCAATAGAGCTACAGCGCCGCGGAAAAGCGCATTCGATAGCCCTATTAAAGCCCTTTCTGAATAATTCTCTCAGATTTGACCTAGCGTCAACGGGTTTGCCTGCAGGGGGCAAAAACTGCAAAAATAGCCGATTTTTTTCGGAAACAGTTTTTCTGCAATAACTTTTGACCCAAGCCTTGTACGAGCTTACTTTTACCGGCATCGTGTTCCTCTCGTCAAGACGCATCGAATGAACTATAACTTGACCTTGAAAGGTCAACTTGAAAATTTGACCTCAGGTCAAGG